TGATAGTGATCCTGATTCCATTTGGTACACTCTAGCCAGGATAGAGTGTATTAGATGAAATGTGAGGATCTTAACTCAATCTGAAATCTCCATCAGCCCCTTTTACTTTTTTTTTTTTTTTTTACTTAAATATTTTTTGTGATGACTTGGAGGAAGTTTTTCTTTGTCAGTTAATACTGGTCCCCATCCTTTAAAAACTCTTTATATCTGCTTTATAACATTCATTGTACTAATCCTCCTTAAAGTTGGGTGAGGTGGTGATGGCTCAGTTTAGTTATGTCCTAAGATAAAGTATTAGTGAAAAACAAATAAATGTTCTTTAGTTATTAAAAAAAAAAAGCACAGCTTAGTCTATTTTACAAATAAAATACATTACATAAATATATTTCACAATTGAAATATATTGTTTAGATGTAGCATTTTTTTTGTTTTCTGGTATAATCTAGAACTATATTTCTGCATTATAAATAAAAATATGGCAAGAGAAGAACAAAAGAAACCTGTTCATTTCTTAATAGCTGCATGTAAGATTTCTTCATTATTTGGAATTTATATCCAATTTTAAATTTTAAGCTTTCTTAAATATGGGTACTTTTAAATTTGTGGAAGTTGCCAATAATAATTGTATTATTGTTACATTTTGCTTGATGTATTGAATACTTAGCACATGATAAGTGTAATCTAGAGACCTCAGGGATTTCAAGGATATAACCTTATTATGCAGAATATAGAAATATTATATTGCCAACCTATTTTTATAAGTCATAGAAAATTTGGAAACATACATATTGATAAGTAAAACTTTTTATTCTAATTTAATGATTGCTTAGAGAAATGGAAAATATTAAATCATATGTCTTCATTGGAGGAATTTAGCAGGGCTAAATATTATGGGATACAGTTAACCCTCCTAGAAATATTTGCAACATCAAAGTTGATTCCTTGTGCATATAGATTTATTCAAAACATATTTATAACTTGCCTGATTCAAAGAAATACCACTGGGCCTCATTCTCCTTATAGCTACTCTCTCTGGCATTTTCCTGAAAGATCACTCATGAAATGATTATTTTAAATACCAACAGTGCAGGTAATGGTGTCTTACTTTTAGATTGTATTCTGCCATTGAGAAATCTAAATTGTTCTAATCCCTTTTTTTGTACCTGACATTCAGTTCACAGCTAATTCAAAAGCTAATTCAAGAGCTAATTCAAAAGAGATTAGACTTCAGAGCATATGTATACATGATTTTACTTTTTAAAATATATTTTTATTTATTTAAGAGATGAAGGGAGAGGGAGGTAGAAATATCAATGATGAGAGAGAATCATCAATCAACTGCCCCTTGCATGCCCCACACTGGGGATCTGGCCTGAAAACCAAGCATGTGTTCTGACCAGGAATCAAACTGTGAACTCCTGGTTCATAGGTCGACACTCAGCCACTGAGCCACATTGACCAGGCTGTGTACATGTTTTTATTTTATTTTATTTTATTTTATTTTATTTTATTTTATTTTATTTTATTTTATTTTAATTTTTTTACCCCAAACCCAACCAACTGAAAGAAAACTATATTCAAAAATTAACACAGAGAGTAAACAATTGATTTTTTTTTTTCATTTAAAAATATAATGAACCCCTGCCTTTAGGTAATGAACAATTCCAGAGTACTATCATTGTCAATTAATAAAGCCAGGCCAAACATAAGTAAAAGTGCTTTCAATTTATGAACTGTGTTAAATAGTATGTAGAAGGCATTGTGAATCTCTTTCAATTGCCATCGTAATCCAGGATGCACAGGAACAAACAAAAGGCGTAGTGCATTTTCATAATATAGTTCAAGTCCATTTTCTCAAGAGTGCCACACCAGTAGTCAGAATACCGTGGCATTTTCAATAAGTGTGGTAAGAGCATGTAAAACACCTAAAACTGAAAGCCTTAGGAGTAATTCTTGGATAACTGAGTCTACAAAGGAAGTACAGGATACTTAGGGGCCCTCAGCTGACTGCGTAGTTTCCTTTTCACTTCTCCATGGGGGCTCACAACACATGACTCCCTACCTCCCTGCTTTGGATGTATGAGGGAAGGGCAAGCATGCACATTTGAGGTGCCTCTAGTTTCTTTTCTTTGGGGTGAGGAGCGTTAACAGGACAAATTTATTTTATTCTTATTGAATTTATTGGGGTGACATTGGTTGATAACATTATATATTAAAACTTAATGGAAATTTTTTAGATGCCTTACCTTTAAAATAGAGCAGAGGACAATTATTTCACTACTACTGACAATATTTAAAAGACTATTGAAGATCCTAGATAATACTAAGAGGAAACTTTTTTTTAATTAAAGATATTAATCTTGAAAGAGAAAATAACTATAGACTTTTTTTTTTTTTTTTTTTTTTACTACCTGTAAGTTTCTTTAGTATTTACTTTTCGTTTTAAGTTCTCTACTTTGTGGTGCAACTTGTCATTTTATACTTTTAAAAAAAATATGCATTTCTCCTAGGTTTTAAGATTTATTAGTATATAGCTGATCCAAAAACTTTTTTTATTAAAAATTTTATATCTGTAATTATTTCCCTTTTTTATTTTGTATTTTGTGTCGAATACCTTTTACTCTCACAGGTCATAGCAGACATTTTGTATCTTAAAATATTTTTTAAAAACTTTTTTCTCTGTTTCTGTTTGTTACGCTTTTATCCTTTCTGTGTTATATTCTTTTGAGTTATTTATTACTCCACTTTTAATTTCTTGTCCTGAATTTATTTTTAAACTGTATTTGTCTTGAATATATAGAGAAGTTCTTTTACATTGTACTAAAAGAACCAATGATCATGATATTGGTCCTTTGGAATTAATGGAGGCATTTTTTTAGCCCGTTACCTGCTCTGTTTTCATATAATAATGTCTATTTGAAAATAATATGTTTTCTCTGTTAAAAATTATATAGAGCAAGTGTACAGTTCCATAATTCATCATCTGTGTATTGTATTGTGTTCACCACCCTGTGTCACGACTCCAGTTTCTTCTTCCAAACACATAGCCTCGGACGGGAAGCCACCACGCTCACTCACAGATGCCTAGGCTTTTCCAGCCCCTGCTCCGTCATTAAAATACATACTCCTATTTGTAACACCTTAAACAATAAAAAATAATAAAACATTAACACATGTTTAATGAAGGATTTGAAGAAATTGGTAACTTTCGCTAAGGGCTTGAAGACTTATGATGGCCTAACCCTCAGATGCATTTAGTAAAGATAGAATTGATTGATTAAAAAAAAAAAATAAAACAAAACAAAAAAACAACCCTAGAAATGTTTCTGCTTCTTAGCTGCCTTTTATACTAGGCCTTAAGGATTTCCTTTGATTCCTTCAACCTCAGCTAACTTTGTAAAACAGACCTTTGTTCCAGATTATTTTTAGTTATCACTGTTTTTAAGAAAATGTGAGTCATGAAACATGTTCCACAAAGTACTCCTGAAAAATGATTTTCCATATTTCAGAGTTCTGTTGAGTACACTTAGAATTACAGTCTTATGGTTTTATAGAACTTAGGCATTTATTGTGATGAGCATTTATTTAATCTAGGATGTGATTTTTTTTTTTCATTTTAAGATTAACTACAGCCATACAAACCAATAACTGTTTTGGAAAAATATTTAATAATTCAATAGCTTACAGAGATTGCATTTGCTTTTTATGAGTCTATCGTAGTGGCCTCTATAAGGTTTTGCTCTATGTAGTTCTTTTCTTTGATGTAGAGAGTAAAATTCTTATATTTGGTGAAACAAATTAGTGTAGATACTAGCAACCATGGCTCATATAGAGTTTTTCATAACATTATAATTAGAAGCATAGCATGTATCTCATGCCACAATTATTACACTGAAAGCTTATCACAAGTTAACAATCAGCATGTATCATTTATATTATATCAGATGGTCTTCCTACCAATTTATTGACAAAGGATTTGTGCTATTAAAATTTTTAAATGGTTGCTTTGTATCCTTTCATATTTCTCCATTGAAAATATATTTAGTGGCCACAGCGGAGTATGCTTTTACATTTTAGCTTGAACAGTGTTCAATGGAACATTTTCAAGATGATGTTTAATACATTGTTACCCTAATCCTATATAGTATAATAGATACATAGAACTTCTTGTCCTGAGAGAATATACAGAAATATAGCAATCCAAGACCACAATTAGCTCTCACTACATACTTTTTCTTACTAGATTGTTCTCTACGTATGTTGCTGTGATATATTTGTTCTACCTAATTTCAAGTGACATTTCCATGTTACCTTTCTATATTAGATTTTTCCCTCTAAAAATATAATTTACACTTATTAAGGTTAAAAGCAATTACCAATATGAGGCCCATGATTCTGGCACCTGTATTTTATAGAATATGTTATTGCAGTTACAGGAGTCTACAATATCTAGCTTAAGCAAAAAAATAAATCTCTATAACCAAAGGGATAATACAGCTATTTAGGGCTTGGGGAATAATTAGAAACAAGGGCATAAATACTGTCAGTTCTTTCTATCTCCATTTCTTTTTATGTGCCTTCTTCTCTCTTTCTGGAGACTATTCTATTTTGATTGCTATGCCATATGGCAATCTATAGATCCTGGACTTGGTCTTTTTCCATTTAATAAACTACCCAGCATGGTTTCCCTTGCTTTGATTCCAAATGTGCACAGAAAGTATTCTGATTGGCTTAGCTTGGATGAGGTACTGACTTTGGATCAATCAGCTATAAATGGAGGAGGGGAAGTTAGCATATTTCTGTGCAGTTTCACAAAAAACTGGGCATGTGATCACAGCTAGAACTGTGCAGGCAAAATAATACTATAGCACCTTTTAAAATTTAACTTTGACTATTATTTATTAGACATCCATTATAAGTCAGCCATTGTAAGTAGCTGTTGTGGTGAGTAAATATGAGTAAGATACAGTATCTGCATTCAAAGGTGTCAGAGGATTCAGCACTGGAGTACAGTGCAGAGAATGGAGTTTGTCATGATCATAAGGAGAGAAATAGGAGGTTAAGAATTTAAGAGGGTTGATCCTCTTGAGAATTTTTGTGATACGTGTGTGAGCCAACAGGAGAGAGTGCCAAAGGGGCAGAACCAATCTTGGAAGCAAATGGGAACTGACTGAGCAAAGTGTTAAAGTTGGAGGAAGAGCAAGAGCCAAGAAATGACAGAAGGGCACTTGTTGGGTTTCCTTCTCTAAGATGAAACCAAATGATGGATAAAGGCATTAGTAACAGTTGAGTTTTCAAGTATAATTGTAGTGGACTTAAATCTAGTTTGGGGCACTTTTTAGCAATAACTTCTATGTAGGAGTTTAAATACAGTGGAACCATAGCTTCCCCACTGCCTGGTCCTGGATTTCTTTGTGTTTTTACCCATGTTTTTGATGCTCATGGTGTGGGCATTATTGGCATGGTTAACCCCACAGATGGCATTCAGGAGAAGAGATTGTTCCCTTACGTTTTCACTTTTTCCCCCAAAGATGGCCTCTGGATTCATGTCTTAGCATTTTCATAGTTCTTTTGTAAATGTTAGCATGTGAAATAGTAACTTCTGTATAAAGGACATGTATATCATTAGGTGGCATTAAAGTGTTTAACTTTGTTTTCTTTTGGTTTTCAGACAACATTCAACTCATGCTGACAGGTTACCTCTTGCAGATACATTGAATTAATTTTCAAAGTAACTTTTTTTTTGTGTGTGTGAGGCTATATTAAATGGTATTCTAGAGTTCAAATGTATTATTTTGTCCAATTTCCTATTTTTTTTAAATGAAAGTTTATAATTCAAACCAAAGTGCAATGAAAGTGTGTCTCCTAAAATTGCACTTTGTGAAATGATGATGGTCATTAGTCTGTCCCTTGAGGTTTGTAAATTTTCCTCTTGGCATTTGTTCCCTTAGTTAACTGGCAATAAATGTCTAGAGTTTACCAATACAAATCCTATTATCTTCTCATATTTTAAGTGTTATTTTTTGTTTTGCTTTTTGCCTCTTTTACAGCATGTATTTTTTTTTTTTAATTTTTAAAATCTTTGCTATTGAAAGTATTACAGATATCCCCCTTTTCCCCCCATTGGCCCCTTATAGCCTGCACATACACCCTGCCCAGGCTTTCACCATGCTATTCTCTGTGTCCATGGATTATGTATATATGCATACAACTTCTTTGGTTGATCTCTTCCCATTCATCCACACCCCCCCATACTCCCTCTGAGACTCCCCAGTCTGTTTCATGCTTCTGTCTCTGGATCTATTTTGTACATCTGTTTATTTTGTTCATTAGATTCCATATATGAGTAAGATCATGCGATACTTGTCAATTTGGTGTTTCTATTTTATTGGGATATATTTCTAGAAGTGGGATCACTGGGTCGAATGGCAGTTCCATATTTAATTTTTTGAGGAAACTCCATACTGTTCACAGTGGCTGCACCAGTCTGCATTTTCACCAGCAGTGTACTAGAGTTCCCTTTTCTTCACATTCTTGCCAGAACTTACCATTTATTGTTGTGTTGATGGTAGCCATTCTGACAGGTTTAAGGTGATACCTCATTGTATTTTTAATTTGCATCTCTCTGATGTTCAGTGACTTTGAGCATGTTTTCATATGTCTCTTGGCCATCTTTATGTCCACTTTGGAGAAGTGTCTATTTACTAGTAGGTCCTTTGCCCATTTTTTATTTTTTTATTTTTTATTTTATTTTATTTTATTTTATTTATTATTATTTTTTAATAAGTTTTTATTGTTCATGTTATTACAAATGTTCCTTTTTTCCCCCCCACCATTGCTCTCCTCCACCAGGTTCCCACCCCACCCTCTGCCCTTTCCCCACTCCCCATTGTCCTCATCCATAGGTGCACAGTTTATGTTCAGTCTCTTCCCACGCCCCCCTCTCTCCTTTTCCCCAAGAATCATCAGTTCACTCCCCTTCTATACCTCTGATTCTATTATATTCAACAGTTACTATTGTTCATCAGATTTTTTTTAATTTCCTTGGTTTTTAGATTCACTTGTTGATAGTTACATATTTGTTGTTCATAATTTTTATCTTTGTTTACTTTCTCTTCTGAAAGAACCCCCTTCAGCAATTCATATAATTCTGGTTTGGTGTTGATGAACTCCTTTAGCTTTTTTTTATTAGTGAAGCTCTTTATCTGACCTTCGATTCTGAGTGATAGCTTTGCTGGATAGATTATCTTTGGCTGTAGTTTCTTACTATTCATCACCTTGAATATTTCTTGCCATTCCCTTCTGGCCTGCATGGTTTCTGTTGAGAAGTCAGCTGACAATCGTATAGGTGCTCCTTTATAGGTAACTACCTTCTTTGCTCTTGCTTCTTTTAATATTCTCTTTGTCTTTTGCTCTTGGAATTTTAAGTATGATGTGTCTTGGTGTGGTCTTTTTTGGATTCCTTTTGTTTGGAGTCCTGGACTTGTAAGTCTAATTCTTTCACCAGGTGGGAGAAGTTTTCTGTCACTATTTCCTTCAGTATGTTTTCGATATCTTGCTCTCTCTCATCTTCTGGGACCCCCATAATTCTGATGTTGGTTTGCTTGAAGTTGTCCCAGAGGTTTCTTACATTATCTTCAATTTTCTGGATTCTCTTGCCTTCTAGCTTCTGTGGAGGAGTGTCTTCTGTCTCTTTATGTTCCAAATCTTTGACTTGATTCTTGCGATCTTCCCTTCTGTTTTTAGTACTCTGTAAAATATTTTTTATTTCAGACAATGTATTCTTTATTTCTTGTTGATCCCTTATCATTTCTTGATGACTCCTTATTCATTCTAGTTGATCTCTTTTCATATCCTCATAGGTCTTATCCATCTTTTCTAGGAAATTCTTGAAAAACCTTATAAGCGTAGATTTGAACTCTATATCCAGACACTTTTTGTCCTCCATTTCTTTCGTTTGTGATCTATTTTGTTGTCACATTTCGCAGTTACAGTGGGACGGGGTTTCAGGGTGGAGCCTGCAGCTTTGACTTCCGTCAGCCCCGCCCTATGCGGGTCCTTCAGTGCTCGCTGCCAGCGCCTCTGAGAGAAAGGTGCCCTCGATTTTCGCCTGCTGCCAAACAGTCTATGCTCTCCCACAATGGGCCCGGTATTGGGGTTCAGTTCAGTTGGAAGTGGAGTTGGAGGTGGCGTTCAGAGCAGTCTGGAGCCCCAGTCTCCTTCCCGTCAGGGTAATTCCACAGCACAGCCGACTGTCCCTTCTCTGCACGCAGTGTGCGCGCCGCTGCCAGGACCTCCTTTCGCCGCTTCCCCGGGGTTCTGCCTTACAGCCCGGCTCCCTATGGCTGAGCCTGAGTCCCCGGGGTCTGGCCTAGAACTGGGGTTCAGAGCAGTTGGGGGCCCAACACAGTCAGAGTTTTATCTCCTTTCCGCTAGGGAATGCCTGCCAGGCACTCTGCCTCCCTCTCCTCTCTGGCTCTGTCCTCTCCGCGCGCTGTGTCTCTGTACCTTGGGCTTTTCCAGCTCCTCCGCACCTCCTTCTGGTTTTCTCCTTGCTTCTCGCTGTAGAATTTCCAGTCAGTCAACCTTCCTATAGTTCTGGGCAATGTCCGTTTTATATTTTAGTTGTTTTTTATTGAAATTGTTGTGTTTGGCTGCGGCTAGGTGTTCCCCTGGGCGCAGCCATCTTGAATCCTCCCTTTGCCCATTTTTTAATTGGATTGTTTATCTTACTTTTGTTAAGTTGTATGAGTTCCTTATATATTTTGGATATTAATGATTTATGCCATTTATAGATAACTAGAAGCCCAGTGCATGAAATTCATCTCTCAGCCCAGCCTGTACCCTCTCCAATCTGGGACATCCCTCTCACAATCCAGGACTGCTGGCTCCCAACTGCCTACCATCCTGATTGCCCCTAACCCCCTTCAGGCCTGATCACCCACATTTGCCCTCCCTTGAAGATCTGGTCCCTCTCAACTGCCCTCCCCTGTTGGCCATCTTTTGGTGTTCACATGGGGGCAGCCATCTTTGGGCAGCCATCTTGTGTGTGTTGGAGTGATGGTAAATCTGCATATTACTCTTTTATTAGGATGACAGGTAATAATCCCTTTTTAAGACCAATTTTTTTTCTGATATAATCCACTCCCTAGACTGCAGGGGTCTTCAAACTTCTCTCATTATGAGAATCACCTGGTGGAGGTGTTAAAACACAGATTCCTGATAGCACTTCTTATAGTTGGGATCCGGGAATCTGTGTTTTAACAACCCCACCAGGTGATTCTTATAATGAGAGAAGTTTGAAGACCCCTGCCCTAGAGCAACAACAAAAAAACAAAAAAATTAGCTCCCCATCCACAAATTAAAAACTAGTCATGTGAAGATTGCCATAGTGTTTGTGTGTGTGTGTGTGTGTGTGTGTGTGTGTGTGTACTTTTGACATGGCCCAATTCATGTGTGCGTGTGTTTTTAATATTATTTATCTTTATTGTGGAAATTATTACAGACATTCCCTTTCTGCCCTATTGATTCCTTCCACCCAGCTCCCATTTTCCCAGGCCTTTGCTACACTATTGTCTGTGTCCATGGATTAAGTATATATGCATGTAATTCTTTGTTTAGCTTGTCTCAACCACCCAACCACCCACACCCACCTTCCCGCTGAAATTCATTCGTCTGGTCTATGCTTCTATGTTTCTGGATCTAAAATAGAGCCACATATTTTTTAAAAATAATATTTTGATTTTTAAATACAATTTACTCTGGATTTGAATAAGAATCCACCCATTTTAATGAAGCTTTTTTTTTCACTTTTAAAATTAATTTAATTTTTTCCCCATCACCATTTATCTCTATGACCTCTTCTACCTCTATCAACTCCTTTACCCCCTGCAATCACAAGCTTAACTTCTGTTCTATAAATTAAATTATTTGAAAACACTAAACATACCTAAAAATGATGGTTTGGGATAGTTTTTAAGTCTGCTTTTTTAAAGAAAAAGCTTTATTATTTTTTTAATCATTCATTCATTCAACAAATATGGTCCTACAGAGCTTCATTTCAGAGGAATAGTGGTTCTCAAACTTTGACCTGGAATCAGAATCAGGTAGAGCGCCTGCTAAAACATCGGTTGTTGAGCCCAACCCCTAGTTTCAGATTGACTCAGCTTAGAATTTATATTTCTAACAAGCTCCCACATGTTGCTGATGCTGCTGGTTCTGGGGTTAGAGAACAGCTGTGCTGGTGGAAGGCGATGCTGTCTACCACCCAGATCTCCAATTAGCCCCCCTCTGTGGACCCAAACCCACTGCCAAGACCCCCTTTGTGGTTATTACCAGTAGTAAAAATGCTTTCTCTAAATGCACTCTGGTGTGCATAGTGTATAGTGCACA